GGTGAATCTGTACACAAGTTTCATAAGTTAACCTGGAGAACTATTATTTGCAAAATAGTACTGAGGGAAATTATTATTTCCCTCTAATTAGCACTGGTGAGACCCACCTGTAGTGCTGTGTCTAGTTCTGGGCTCCTCAGTGCAACAGAGATACGGACATAATTGGAGGGAGACCAGCGAAGGGCCACAAAGATGATTAAGGGACTGGAGAATCTCTCATACAAGGAGAGGCTGAAAGAGCTGAGACTGTTCAGCCAGAAGAAGAGAAGGCTCAGAGGAGTCTTATCCATGCGTTCAGATACCTGATGGGAGGAATAAAGGAGATAGAACCAGTCTTCTCAGTACTGTCCAGGACAGGAGGCAATGGGCACAAAGTGAAACACAAGAAATCCTACTTAAAAGTTAGAAATAATTTTTTAGAACAAGCTGCCCAGGAAGGTTGTCGTTTCTCCCTGTTCTAGCTGACACTTCTTTGAGTATGGGGGTAGAATTTATTGTATTAAGTGTTAGATTAGAAGCAAGATACTTTTTCTGGGGAGATATGATTGCCTTAATACTGAAATATCTGACAGTACATTTTCATTAAATTAGTCGAAGTACATATCTAAAAGAATACAGGCTTCTTTCCTACTGACAGCCCTTTGACATCTTAACTCTTTCCTACCATATAAACTTTGCAATTGCTGAATCAGTATTGTCAATATAGTTCCAGCATGCCAGAGACTTGACTAATGTATTTTGATCTTATTATGATGTGTTTATTATTAATATTAAGAGCGATTACCTGAAAGTCTGCAAAACCATCCTTTGCCAAGAGGATAGGATGCTTCAATTAAAAGTTCATCATTTCTCTGGGTATTCACCATGCTAACAACAGTAAGCATATTTAGATGAGTGTAGACTTTCAGCTAAATTTTGCTCATCAGTTTAACTGAATTGTTCTCCTCTCGCAGTCTGAATGCCTAATCTGCCTCTATTTGTCTGATGTCTAATCTGTTTCTTCTCCATGTGGAGCCTCTGTTTTGATAAGAAAAAAAATCAAACTTTTTCTCTGCTATATAGTTTTATGAAAGTCTTCTTCTGTTATGTGTGAACTCCTTTTGTTTTGAAGATCCTTGCATTGGAAAATGCACTGGCATTTTGTAGGATCTTCTACAATCTGCACTAGCACCTATACTGCTAGGCAAGGAAGGAAGACAAGGTGTGCTGTGTGATGATACATGGAAATAAAGCTCTGTTGTGGAGAAGAAAGGGCATGCGTTTTAAGGATGCATAAGAAATTGGTTTGAGGTCATAAGCCTGCATTTGGACAGAGTGCTTAGAAAGTAAAACCAGAACTTTTACTCTTTGCTGTTTGATTGAAATTTAGTTTGAAAGGAGTCACATTTAAACATTTTTCTCCTCACATGGAAACTGTAACCAACTTTTATTACCAGCTTACTCTCAAAATTTTTTTTTCAAGTAATGTTGCTTGGTAGTAAGAAAATTTCTCTGTCAGGTTGAAAAACTGTTCCATACTCTACCACTGTTTTGCTCAGTTATGTGGTGGGATGCTTGCTTTGCTTAGTCTTTTTCTCTTATCTGTAAAACATCCAGGGCAATATCAAGAATATTTCTAAGTAGGCAGTGATTGATCTCTCTAAAAACTGAGAACTTTTGTTTTGATCTAGTGTTGCATTTAACTGCCCTTTCCTTCAACGCAAACCTGAAAATTGCTCAGAGCTTCTGACAAATTTATTTTACCCAATTAACTAGAAAATATCATTGCTGGGGCCAGGGGAAAAGTGACATTAGAAAAGCCTCCCCTTTTCACACCACCTCAAAATTCTAAAGATCCTCTCTTTAAAAAAAAAGATCACCTTTGCAGGAATGGTTGGTAAAACCAGGGCATTTTTCACTACTCAGAGGTAGGCCAGGAATAATTCTCTGTGCTGAACAGAGCCAGTGTGATGGTTGAGGAACAGATACAATAAAGGATGCTGACACATAATGCCGGATGTCAGCTGCCACGTCTTCCAGTGTCTCAGGCTATTAGGGAAAAGCAAAGAATTTAAAAAGTGCAACTCAAAACAGGGAGCAGTGAACTGTTTAAAAGACATGCAGATTTACACAGATGCATCCAGGACTAAAAGTGGTAGAAGACCTAAATTCTGCTACTTGAAATCCTTCTTCATCTGTTTTCCTTACAAAACCAAAGATGACCTCGTTCCTTTAAAACCTGTCACAGAGTAGGGATAGCAATCTCTATGTGCTGTGGATGGAGTTCAAGTGACCTCTGCTACTTAGGGAGCAAGATCTGAGCACTCTTCTCCTCTCTCTTTCTACCTCCTGTCTCTATCTCTAACCTGCAGCCTGTTTATGGGGGAAGAGAAAGAAATCTGTCCTCTCCTGACTGAGAACAGGTTTACAAAGGGCACGCTTGAACGGAAACCTGACCAACTGTGTGGATGTGAGGGATGGAACTGGTAAAAAGGATCCACCTCTGAGGGCACAGCTGCACTCTTGTCCACTCCCAGTTGCTCCCAGCTTCCTGACCAGTTTCAAGTGTAATAAACTAGATTTGTAGAGATCTAACACTAAATCATCAAAGCTACACACATTAAGGCACATCAAGCTTCTTTCGGTCCTTATTCCTGAAAAAAAAAATGTATTACATTTTACAGACCTAGATAGATGATAACCCTTGCAGCCTCTGTCTTTTGTACCACTTTACAGATTGATTTTGCTTTATGCCCATCTCCATCCACCTAACCTGAAAAATAAGCACAATGCCCTCATCTTGCCACAAGCAACTACATTTTTACCTCTCAGAAACATACTTCCAGTGTTCATTTGTTTACCAGCCTGAGCTTTTAATGAGCTTTTTTTCTAGACTGTGGATTTAGTCTAGATGCTTACACTGGGAATGACATGTTCATGAAAAGCATAGCAGATTTCACAGCCCACTTCAGTATATCTTTCAGTCTGGTTTTGATCGTGGAGTACTGAAAAGCCTAATTTTTCCCTTTCACTGTTTTTCTCTTCCTCTCCTTCTCTCCTTCAAAGTATTTATTAGTTGGTCTGCATGCAGAAACAATGAAATAAAAATAGAACTAAAAGAGAATATGAAAAAGTGACAGTTCATAATTTTTGCTTTTGCTACTCTAATGCATCTCATTTATCTTCACTATTTTAACCTTTCTCATTTCAGCTAAAACTATTTATTGTTAAGAAAACAGTTTTATCTTCAACATTTAACGTATGAAAATAAATGTCAAGGCCTTTTGCAACATACTACTAGTTTTGTAGAATCTCAAATTCATTTGTGCAAGAAGAGATGCACCTCTGTTGAAATAGCCCACTGACGTTTTGCATGACAAGTTTTTACCAAATACAATGGGGCAACATATTAGGTTTGAGATTAATTTGTTCTCTTCCGCCAAGGGAAAAAATTCTGACTGCTTTTTAATTAGAAGCCAATCGAGGCTTTTGTCTTCTGATTAAATCAAAAATTATCCCAAACAATTCGTGGCAGTGCTTAAAAAAATGTAATTGATTTACGTTGTCACTTTGTGAGACAATAATTGAGATCATAATAGTTAATGCTGATTCTGATTTATGAAGATTGTCTGAAAATTATTTCTATATTCTGAGGATTTGCATGAAAACGTAAACTGATGAGTATTTTCCTTTTTCTTTAAAGAGAACGGCAGGTTTAAT